TTACTAGACTTCGGGCTAATGGAGAGCAGGGCCTTTCCCTCTGCTTCATCTTTGCACACCCAGCATTCAGCCCTGTGTCTGGCAGATACTGGGCATCAAAGGAAAACTCGAACTGGACAGTTTAGTCCCTTGTGTCCCAGTGGGTGGTCTGGCAAATGCAGTCGAGGTGGTGTGATTTATACACCGGAGGACACACCAGACACCGAGAAGTCCCAGCCCCACAGCAGATCGGGGTGGGGGGGGGCGTGCGAGGAGGGTGGTGGTGGTGGTGGTGTGTGAAGTGTGCAGTGCTGCAGCGCCCTCTGGTGTCCAGGGGGAAAATCGTTAGTTTTCCTTGTGCACCAGGGAGAGCAAAGTGGTGTTTGTGGGCACCCAGAGCAGGCAGACATGGAAAAAGTGCCGATTCTGGTCCTGGCTGGCCCTGCAACCGGCAGTGTGTTGTGGGCAAGACATAGAAAGTGTCCTAGTCTTCTCATCCGTAAAACGGGTGCTGGCTTTGCTGGTGGAAGGGAGGAGGTGGACGGCTGGAGTTTCGGAGCAGCTTCTAGGTCCCAAATCTATGAGTTTTTGTTGGGTAGAGTCTCGCCACGTGCCCGTCACTTCCCCGAGGCCGAGGACGATGGCTGGTTCACACGTGTGTTGCCGGCCTCAGCGAAGCACATAACTGTGTGATCTCTCTGGGTTCTCCCCGGCCCCGGAACACATTAAATGACATTTCTGTTACGTGCCCCGCTCTGCCCCCAAACATGAGTCCCTCCAGGCAGGAGCTCTGTCTCATTCTTTGACCCCCAGCATCCAGTGGCACACAGTAGCCGTCAATGCGTGACCTGGAAGGGCGAGCGAGGCGAACGGCAGAACGACTCTGCAGGTGGCCAAGGCACTTCTCCCTGAACCAGCAAGGACCCTACCGAGAGAGAACCCGGCCGGAGTTTGCTTTTCCAGCGAGATGAATCGCCTTCTCCTCTGCAGAGCCTCGTAATAAACTCTTTCAAGCGGGTTTAATTTGTGATAAAGAGACACAACTGCTTTTGTGCGTTTTGCAAAGAAATGTCAAAAACCTCACGCTGGGGCCTACGCAGCTAAGTTCCCCCGAAGCTCTCTGTAACTTAGCGGGATGAGATCACCTTTCTGACGACAGCTGGCAGGAGCGGGGACTCAGCTGTGGCTGACCGTGCGGGCAGACGAGCTGCAGGACGCTGGAGAGCGGGCGGCTCCCGGCCTTGACCCGCCTTCCTGTCCTGACGAGGAAAGCTGATGAAAACTAACAAAATGCGTCCGCTCACACCAAACGCGAAAAAGACTAATCTGAGTTTGTGAGAAGTCTGATTTCAAGGGTTAAAAAACTTTTTTCTTTTTTTTTTGCAACTTCCAAAGACCGTCGCCGGAATGCCCAGACGAGCAGGTGCGCCCCGCGGAGGTGAGCGCGGACACGTGCAGGCGGCGCCCACGGCTCCCAGGCGGACTGACAGCTCCTCAGCCGGAAGATTTCTGTTCTTTTTAAATTTCTACTCTGCTCTGCCTAAATTCTCAGCACTTTTGACTCAGGGGCGCCTGGCTGGGTGAGGTTTTGCTTCACGGCACTGTGGCCCCCAGACGCCCGCCGGGGACCCCAGGCTCTGACCCTGCCTCCTGCTTGTGGCCGCCAGGAGGGCCTCCTCAGGGAAGGGCCACAGGTCCTGTCTTTCTGTCCTGTCATCTCCTCCTCTTTCTGGATGAGGACTTCTGTGGTCCTTGTTACGGGGTGCAGCTGAGGGTGGGCTGGCAGCTTCTGAGCAGCAAAAAGGGAGCGCCCACTCACCGCGGGAGGATGTGCGAGCTGCCCATGGAGTCTGGGGCTTGCAGTCCTGGCCACCACCACGTCTAGGGACAGTGCTGTCACCCGCACACGGCAACAGATGCCAATATCCGGCTCACCCTCCTCCCGCAATGCCGAGGACATTACAATGATTCAAAACGAAGGGCCTCCGACCTGAGATGTGGACCAGGCTGGCAGACCTGGGTGCCACGACTCACAGTCCCCACGGGCGGTGGGCGGGAACGCAGTGAACTCGTCTCTGTGGTGTTGGTGGCGGGCACGGGTATGACACACCAGCTGTGAGCGGTGACCTCACCTCGGCTCCAAGCGCAAACAAAACACGACAGAGCCCGAGTGTGAAGTCACGTCCCTGGCTGTTTGAACTGTCACCGGGAAATTTAAGGGTCGCTGGGAAATGAGAACTAACGTCGATCAAAGATGCTTCTCACTTCTCCTGGCTCCTTGTTTTGACCAAGACAGTACGTGCTCGAGGTAAGACGAAGGACAGCTTCTAACTTTTCGGTGCATCAGGAAGCACGTGCTGTGATGGCTGTGTTGGGTTGGTGGCTAAGTAATGGGGTAAACACGCGGGGTGTCGGGGTGAGTCGTTACGGTAACCGCTCGAGAACTCACGGAGGAGAAACAGCATTGGACTGACCCACGGGGGGCGAGTGCAGACGCTGCTTAATGGTAAAGAACAACCCATTGCACGGACGAAGAGACCGAGGCCGGGGAGGCCTGACTGCCCGGCCGCCTCCGATCCGACCTCAGCCCACACTTCTGCCAAAGCACCTGTCCATTTGAACTTTTCTGGTAGTCCCGCCTTCCACTGGTCGTGGTACGTGTCTTAGTCTTTGGACTTCGCTTTCAACGCGACCCGTTTAGATTTGCTTTTCAAAATTCCTTCTGCATCGTGGCCCGTGGGTGCCTGGACCGGTGGTGCTGTTTATTTACACTTCCTCGTTTCTCCCAAAATCTCACTCAGACAGGAGATGCCTGCATGTGCTCAGATGCATTATCGCTGGCGAGAGTGAGTGGTGGGGAGAGGGAGGCCTCGCAGGACAGGGGGCTGGGAGAGGGCCGTCCTGTCACCGGCAGTCAGGGCTGGGGCGGGGTGGGGGGGTGGTGGTGCGGGACTTAGCGCATCAGACGCTACTTTTCATTTTTAATGGCTTTTCAAGTAGACGCAGTCTGGACACGTGGCACCAGCTCGGACTTGCTGGGTAGCGGGGGATGGCATCAGGGGTGAAAGTGACGAGTTTCTTTTCCACGGGAGATGTGTGTGGGGTGACTGTCAGGGGACAACGGGATGCCTGTGGAGGGTGTGCCTGGGTCTGGCAGCGCTCACGTGAGGTTAGCGTCTTCCGGAGCATTCGTGTGGTGGCTAACGACAGGGCCTGTCCACACGTTCCCTCTCCTTGCTCTTGGTACCCATGGCCTCAAGGGGACAGCCCCGGACACTGGAGAACCTGAACAGATGTCCTTACACAGGACACACTGGCAAGGCACCCAGAGTCCTAAACGTGGTTTCCACAGTCAGCAGGACAAACTCAGAATTAAGAAGGGGAGCTCTGGGTAAGGCCTTGGTGCTTGGCATGGAGCTGGCTAGGGGGCCACTGCTGGCAGCACCAAACATTTGGAGCCCGCTGGCGGTCACCGGTGTGGTTTCCATAGTCAGCAGGACAAACTCAGAATTAAGGCCTTGGTGCTTGGCATGGAGCTGGCTAGGGGGCCAGTGCTGGCAGCACCAAACATTTGGAGCCTGCTGGCGGTCACTGGTGCCCTGTGTCTGACGCTGAAAACGTGGCTTCGTCAGGAGGAGGCGGCCGGTGAGGACTTCTCTCGTTCTGGGCAGCTCCCTGGCAGTTAGGTGCAGGCCGCTGGGGACAACTTCGGTAGCAGCAGAATGTTCTGGCCCTGTGGGCCAGGACATTGGCAGGTACGCCTGCCTCCCCGTGCACTGAGGGGCGGGGTTGGGACAGGCTCTGGGCCACTGTGGTGGGACCTGGGGCTCTCTCCTCCCAGGCCGAGGGGTGTGGGGCACACAGAGCTGGCCGGGAACCCGTCCTCAGTGCCAAAGTGAGAGGCCGCTCCTACTGTTCCCGCGACGGCTCTCTGCGTGTGTCTCTTCCTGTCTTCACGGGCTCACATTTCCGTTCTCTGAAGTGACGGGCTGTCACTTTTCTCTCAGCTGGTCATGTGCTTCAGGAGTCCAGCCCCCTAGTTTTTTTTTTTTTTTTTAAATCTGCTTTACTTTGTTGTGCCAGACGAGACAAGGTCAGGATCTGCGCCCCCAAATAAATTCTTTCACACACAATACGGAGTCTGAAATTTCATCATTAAGGACATAGTCATTTCTCGCAGGGGGTGGCACCAACTGTGACAGGTGTGTGGCACGGGGACCACCTCCTCCTCACTGCTGCCTGTGGCAGATGTGACCAATCGATCGCCAATGACATGTTCTCTCGCTGAGCTTGAGTCCGGCCTCAGAATCCGTGTCATCCGTGGCACCGCAGCCGGTCTGCGGGAGGGACACTGTTCTCCGTCCCTTAGTCCGAGCTCCAGGACTAACGTAATGTAACTGCGTGTTAGCGTGCACGTCCCCTCAGTAAGCTGTGTGTCCCAAGGACAGCAGGCAGCCAGGGCAGCTGGGAGTACCAGGCACGTGGCGGGTGAAGGCAGAGAGAGAAAACGGAATAGGAAGGGGGGCTATCTGGTGCTAAGGAAAAGCGGGGAACCCGGTTCCCACACAGCTCCCGCCAAGAACTGGCTGTGACGGGTGGAGTGGGGGTGGGGCATGCTCCTGACGGCACCAGGTACTCAGCTTCAAGCCTAGCAGACGGCGATTTAATGTCCTGTGACCCTGGCCACCACCGTCACTTCCAGAACTTTATAGCCTGCCGGCACACACACAGACCCAGGGCCTCTGCCCCAGCTTGGGGACGGGGAGGAAGGCCCACTCAGATTTGGGAACTCTGAGTCAGGGTCGTTGCTGAGTTAACACCATGGAAGCTGCTACCTGCAGCTTCGGCCCCAGCTATGGGGTGCTGGGTTAGTAGTGAGTGGCTACCTGAGACATTCTTAATTGACTGGTGGTGACGATGATGGCTGTGACCGTAACCACGTCGGTTGTCATTTATTAGGTGTTTACTCTGTGTCATGCCGTGCTGAGCACTCTGCAGCCGCTGTCCTGACGAGTCCTCACAAACGGCTTTGGGAAAGTGGGGGCCTTAGCCGGGTGAGCCGACAGGCCCGAGCCACGACGCCAGCAGCAGATGCGCCGAGTCTCGCTCAGGTGTGCTGATTTCACGCGGTAGTCTCTCGCAATGACGGAAGGATGGTTATGACAGAGGCGATGGCAGTTTTCCGTGGCAAGGACAGTAATCCGGACAGAGTGCTCGCCTTGTTTTAAGATCGGGTCATCGTGTTTGTTTTGATTTGACTTTGAGGTGGAGAAAGAGCTTGTCTTGATCAATTAAACTTGATCGGTTAAAATTAATCTGTGACCAAACACCTTAAACACTGGGGAATAGCTCCCTAAATTGTAACCTCACCCTGAAAAGGGGTGAACGCTCAGCTTGGCAGCTGTGGTCACCTCGACCGTGTCACTGTCTTTGTACGTTGATGCCTTTTTAGAAAATTCCCTTTCTTTCTGACGTTTATGATAAATTATCCATGAATCGGGTCACAGGAAAAGATATATTTTCCCGAGACTTCTCTTATAGAACCTCAGTTTTTAAATATGCTTACGACGCTGAACTTGAACTGATTTACTGCCCGTACAGATGGCCTCGGCCCACCGCTGTGTGGGACACGAGCCCCAGCAGGCAGCCATGGCCCTTCACGTGGAGAACGCAGGCGGACGCTGGGCTCAGCCGGCACAGCCTGCGCATGCGCGGAGCGGCCGCACAGCTCCGTACAGTGCAAA